GTCAACCCGGAAAGGTACAAGATCAAGTGTGTCCACCCTGACTGTATGTTCAAGCTGACTGCATCATACAAATTAAGAGGTGATTGATGGGTCATAGGTTCCATGACTACCCACACTTGTGTAAGTTCTACTCAATCACAGGACCACCGAAAACTTAACTACGATCTCATCTGTCAAGAAATCCTACCCCTGGTCAGCAACGACCCATCTTTGAAGGTGAAAACAATCATCTCCCACATCACCACGGTTTTTAACTACACTCCGTCTTACCGTAAGGTGTGGTTAGCAAAGACTAAGGCGATTGAAAAGGTGTACGGAAACTGGGAGGAGTCATACCAAGAACTTCCTCGCTACCTAAATGCACTCAAGACGTATTCTCCGGGTACTGTTTACATTCTGGAAACAGTGCCTCCATACGCCCAAGATGGTAGTCTACTAAACGACAACGGAATATTCAGTTGAGTGTTTTGGGCATTTCAACCATGCATCATAGGGTTTGCATCATGCAAACCAATTATACAAATTGATGGGACTTGGTTGTATGGGAAGTACAAAGGCACGCTACTGATGGCAGTTGCACAAGATGGCAACAACAACATTTTCCTCATTACCTTTGCCCTTGTCGAGGAGGAGACCGGTGGTGCTTGGAGTTTTTTTCTGAAAAATCTGCAGACACACGTGGCTCCTCAACCAGATCTCTGTTTGATCTCGGACAGACATGCCTCCATTGAAAGTGCCTACAATAATCCTGCAAACGGTTGGCATGACCCTCCTTCTACGCATGTCTATTGCGTTAGGCATATCGTCCAGAATTTCACGAGGGAAATCAAGGACAAAACATTAAGGAAAGCGGTTATGAATGCGGGATATGCATTGACACAACCCACATTCAAATATTACCGCAATGAGATCCGTTTGTCAAATTCGGAAGCCGGTAGGTAGATCGACAATATTCCGGTGGGAAAATGGACTAGGTCACACGACAATGGCCAAAGATGGGGGCACATGACAACGAATCTTATTGAATCAATGAATGGGGTATTCAAAGGCATATGAAACCTCCTGATCACTGCTTTGATAAAATTTATGTATTTTAGGATGGCTGCGTTATTTGCCAAAAGAGGTGAAATATGGAATGCAGTGTTGCAATCTGGACAACTATGGAGTGAAAGCTGCATGAAATACATTAAGGCAGAAAGTGCCAAAGCCAACACTCATATGGTTATACGGTTTGACCGACACAGCCACAACTTCATTGTGAAAGAGACAATCGACCACAACGAAGGCCTGCCAAGACAAGAATATATGGTCATGCTACCTTCTCGTTGGTGCGATTGTGGCAGGTTTCAAGCATTTCGTATGCCTTGCTCTCATGTCATTGTCGCTTGTGCTCATACCCATCAAGATGCGCTGCAACTTCTGTCAAACATTTACAAATCTGAAATGTTGCTTAACGTTTACAACAACAACTTTCCTTTGGTAGCAAAACCAGATTATTGGCATGCATACGACGGCGAAATAGTGTGGTACAATGACCAAATGCGAAGGAACAAGAAGGGTCGTCCCAAAAGTAAGCGCATCACAACAGAAATGGACGATCTTGACAAGTTGGAAAGAAAGTGTGGTTTATGCCGTCAGGTCGGACACAATCGCAAAAATTGTCCGAATCGGGCGTCTGCCTCGACCACATAAAAATTGTAATACATAAAATCTTTCCTTAATTATGTTGTAAACATTAGGGTTTACCGTTAACAGATTTTGCTACAATAAATATTGCGCGTACAAGAAAAATTAACGATATTCCGTCTACGATGTTACAACTGTTAACACAATTTCATCTGACCCATGCATCATCAACATTACATCGCTGTCTGTTTTGACTTCCTCCAACCATACATTAGGTCTTCCTGTCGCATGTGAGGTTGTTGTTCATTTTCGCTGGATCCTTCGAATTTTTTCCCCCTCCGCAATGTCTCCATCTAGCCATCGCATCAACTCCCGCTTCAGACGCTCCATGGAGTGAATGTGCCAGAATTTCATTTTCATCGCAGGTTTCGTGGCGGAGAAGATAACGTAACCATCTCTGCTAAAAATCATGGGCGACGTCATGACGCAAATAACAGAGTAAAAAATAAAAATACAGTGCGAGAAAGTGTGCGGAATTTCGGAGAAACGGATGAATTATTTATAAAACAGCATTTTGCCCTAGTTTTGCCCTAGGAGCCAAGTGAGATGGCGCCTCCTCTCACTTTTAAGGAGCGTGCACCATCTCACTTGGCTTAAAGTGAAGGGAGGCGCCAAGTGAGATGGCGCCTAGGACAAATATATGGGTGGAGGCGCCAAGTGAGATGGCTCCTCCTTTGAGGAGTCATCCGAAATATGATTATTTGCATAATTTTTTCCGAAACGCGATTATTTGCGAAATATTATTTTAATACTAAAAAATTCATACAATGATTATAATGTACTATGATGTAAATATAACTTTCTAGAGAATTATTTTTAATGTAAAACAATCTCTTATCTCTAACATAATATAATTTACATATTCATGCATAGTTGTTGTAAACAAATTTTACACGAACATTCAAGTATATCTCACTATGCATTGTAGTTTTAATGCATTACCACAGTAAAATATTAAATCTATTTCAGCGATAATATAAAACGGATTATAATTATTTTTTGTTAACTAATGCAACCTATGATATTTTCTTTTAAGGAATATACATTGTAATGTTATTGTTTTTTCTCTATTAATTCTTATACATTGTATTGTTATTGTTTTTTTCTCTATTAATTCTTATACATTATTTTATTATTATTGTGAATATTTTTCAGCTTTATTTTTAATACCATATATTTAGTGTTCTTCAAAAAATCGTGAATTAAACTGAATTAAGTTAAAATGATTAAACCGTTATGTTGATTATTGAATCAAATCATATTACACAAATAATTTTAGAATTAAATCAAAATTAAAATTAAACTGAATCGAAATTGAAATCGAACTAAATCAAAATTAAAAAAAAAAGATTAAAAATAAATTTTAATTTTTTCTAAAAAAATATTTTAACGGTTCGGTTCAGAAAATTTATTTTTTAACAGTTCGGTCAGAATTTTGAAAATGTATATTAAACTAATAATTTTGATTTGATTCAATTCTGAATAAATTAAAACAGTTCAATTTAATTTGAATAAATTTTTATTATAGTTTAATTCAGTTCGGTTCGATTTTTTTTATGGAAGCATATAATAAACCTACATATATCACAACAACATCCATATGAGTGACTTTAAAGAGAAATTTAGATTTTCTTTTATTGAATTCAAAATTATTTATACTCTTTTTATATAAAAAAATAGAGTTAAGAGACCAAAAAAAAGTATGGTCTTAAATAAATAATAAGTATAAAAGTTAAATTATATTTTAATTATAATAACATTATAAATTAATTGACAATATAAAAATTATTTACACTAATTAATTTTATATATGAAATCTTGACCAATTTTTTTATATGTGAAATTTATTGAATAGTATCAATAAAAATGTTTTTTTTCGAAATTTAATATTAAAATTAAAAGTCTAATTAATATGTATTGATAATGTAAAATATTCTATATTATTTTTAAAATAATTTTAAAATTTAAATATGATTTAATAAAATACTATCGAAAATTGGTTAATAGTGTGAAATAACTTTAAATAAATATATTTTATTTTCTCTAGAACTAGTATCATGATATAATATTGTTATTTGAAAAAGGAAAATGTTTGTTTTAAAAAATATACAATGTCATTTCTAAACATATTTATAAATGAAAAGTAATTTAGTAATATTTAAATTCAATATTCATGCATAGTTGTTATAAATCAATTTACAATGTTTGTTTTAAAAAATATACAATGTCATTTTTAAACATATTTATAAATGAAAAGTAATTTAATAATATTTAAATTTAATATTCATGCATAGTTGTTATAAATCAATTTACTATGTATATGCAGAGGGATTAGTTTTAAGAGATTAATTATTATGCATTTCACTGTAAAAAAAATTATAATTATAATTTATTATTATTATTTCTTTTGAATTATTTTATATATGATTAAAATAAAAATTAAATTTCTTTTCAATATTTAACGTTTACCATTAATTGAGTATATAAAATCATTTTAAATTATCAATGTATTTTAATTAAATTTTAGTTTTATTGTATTTCTATATTAAAATATTTAATTATTCAACAATAATATAAAAGAAAAAATTTAGATGTGATTTATATTTTTTTCAATGACAAGTATATAATTTTTTTTATACATATACAATTTCTTTCTATTTTTACTCTTTAATAGATATTTAAATATATTTATCGTATTTTTATTGGAGAAAAATATAAACCACACCTATAAAATTATATCTAAGTATTTTCGTAATATAAAACACAATGTGTGTATAATAATAATAAGAATTAATTTTTTAATAATTAATATATTATATAATAGTTTTTTAAGGAAAAAATATGTATGAGTAGAAAAAGAATAAAAATAATTTATTTCTCTTTCATTTCTTATACATTGTATTGTTTTTTTGAGGAAAATACATTGTATTGTGGCAGTAAATACTTTTCAGCTTTATTTTTCTTAAAGAAGATATAATATAATATCATTTTTTAAAAAGGAAAATATTTTAAAAAAAATATATATACACAATATCATTTTTTAACATATTTATAAAAAAAAAGTAATTTAACAATATTTAAATTCAAAAACATTATTTTAACAGGTGTAAAATGTGTAGTGGAGTTTTATAAATAGAGTCCTTAAGAGTAATACCAAATCAACCCAAGAAAACGGAAAGCATTGCGGCATTAAAACTAATCCAAGTTCTCATTTCGTTCCGTTACGTTCCGTTCCGTTTTGGAACTTGCAGATCATAAATTTCAAACTCTAATAACACTCGCTTAGGTTCCTTCCCATCATCGCCGCCGCACTCATGAGTCCCCAGCCACCAAAATCCCACCGTCGCCGCCAATCCAACACCCCCAAAACACCACCAACTCTCCCCGAAGAGCTCATCACCGATATCCTCTCCCGCCTCACTGTCAAACATCTGATGCAGATGAAATGCGTGAGTAAATCCTGGAACACTCTCATAACCGATCCTGTTTTCACCAAAATGCATTTCAGTAGATCTGCATTGAATCCATTTTTTTCGTTAATATCTAATAATTTATCCGCTCGGGACGGTGATTGCAGTTTCGTAACCGTTCCGGTTAATCGGTTACTCGAAAACCGCTATATCACCGTTCCCAAGAGTCCTTACTTCCGATTGAGGGATAAGGAGTGTCGCGATGTTGTTGGATCTTGCAATGGATTGGTTTGTTTGATTGGTTATTCGATTAACGAGTGGACTAAGTATAAAAGAGTGTGGTTCCGTTTCTGGAACCCTGCTACTAGATCAATATCGGAAAAATTAGGTTATTTTTTTTATTATGATAAGAATGAAAGAAAATCTATTAAGTTTGTGTTTGGTTATGATAATTCAACTGATACTTATAAGGTGGTGATGTTGCGTTCGGGTTGTGAGAGTGATCCTGAATCGAAAGTCAGTGCGAAAGCGTTTAGTTTCGGGGGTAATGTTTGGAGAAACATTCAGAGTTTTCCTGTGGTTCCGCTTCAATTGGTTATGGATCCGAGGGAGAACAATGGTGTTGTGAAGGAGAATGATGGTATTTATTTGAGTGGCAGTATTAATTGGTTAGCTTATCGTGATGACGATAACCTAAGGAAGGATAATCCGGTTGAGAAATATGTGATTGTTTCTCTTGATCTTGGTACGGAGACAAACACACAGTTTTTGCTCCCGGAAGGTTTTGAGAAGGAGTCATATGTAGGGCCAAGTGTTTGTGTGTTGAAAGATTCCCTTTGTTTTTGTCATGATTTGGATTTGACGGATTTTGTTATATGGCAGATGATGGAATTCGGAAATGAAAAGTCTTGGACTCAGTTTCTTAAATTTAGTTATCATAGTGTTCGGATGAATTATGAATTTGGACTTCCGCTTTTGAAATTAATGCCGTTGCATCTATCTGAGAATGGTGATACGGTGGTGTTAGCAAACAACCGACAAGACCGAGTAATTCTCTATAACCGGAGAAATAACAGAGCAAGGAAAACTATACTTAATACTAAGATATGTTGGCCCTCCCTCAAGGATTATGTTGAAAGCTTGGTTTCAACTTCTTGAAAGTAAGTTCCTATCTAATGATTTATACATTGGTGTGAATTTATGATACTCTATGTACTTGGTATTGAATTTGTTTCAATAGTGTCATTATTTACTTTACCTCAAAATTCTGTCATAAATATGTTGAATCAATGAACTTATCATGTTACCATGCCTAGAACTCTGTTATCTATGTATAGTTTAAGCATATAATGTTCTTGCGAATCAATAATGTTGTTGATTCAAGTACTTGGTTTCATTTGTGATTATTTCTTTAACTTTGTCTTAGATTTGCCGAATTAGTTACGCCCATAACAATTTATAACAGTTTTGGAAGTGAGAATTAGTTATTTCTATGCCTAATAATGATATATTGCTATAGATTCTAGTTTTTATTATATTAACACAAAAACCCTTGCATCACATGCAAGTGCACTTGTATTATTGCATCACAGTTGAAGCTAACTTTTGTCATAAAGGGATATGGCTTCACTTTTGAGGTTTAGGCCTCCACTTTTCTATGGTCTCTGTTCTTTTTGTGTTTTGATGTTTCATTCTCTTGCTTAACAGGATTTCTTTTTGAACCTCAACTTTGAGCATACTCAATGTCATTCTCTTGCTTAACAGGATTTCTTTTTGAACCTCAACTTTGAGCAAACTCAACGTCATTCTCTTGCTTAACAGAATTTCTTTTTGAACTATAGATCCACAACCTCAACTTTGAGCAAATTCAACGTTATTGATGATACATGTCAGGATGGAAGGATGAAAGAGGCTTATTGGAGCTAACTTCACTGCACTTCATCTTTAGTAGTAATTCTTTTATACAAGACATTAATGGCCCTCTTGATTTCTGTTTATGATTTTTTTGGAAACATTTGTAGCAACTTATTGCTTAATAATTACACTGTCTTACAATTCTGTATCTGTTTGTGTAACTATCATCTTCCCTGAGATTTTATTTTTCTATCTGAATGAAATTACGGAGACAAATACATATTTATAAATGATTATGTGTTTCTTGTTTGTTTCCTTTCATTTTGGATCCCTACATTATAGTATCATACTGATTTAACTATGTAGTTATGTAGCTTTTCACATTTAGACAAATATTAGCTTTTCCCATATCGGGTCATGCTAACATGTGTTAAAGATATTATAATTAGAAAAATTTAAATGTAATTAAATATAATAAAGTCATATTTAAAATTTCAAAGTATTGAATGCAGGCATTCTAAGAAAATATTTCTACAAAGAACTTATTAACTTGTATGTCTTTGGGGCACATGTTAGCTTTTCTCATATCTTAATTGTGTCCATATTAGACTTTAAAACTTCAAAGTATTGAATGCATGCGTTCTAAGAAAATATTTTTACGAATAGTTTATTAATTTGTGCCTTTGAGACATATGTTAGCTTTTCTCATATCTTAATTGTGACCATCCTAGAGCTTGTCTAGATATTGGATTTACGGTAGATGGCCCGTGCTTGGTGAGGTAATATGAAATGTGAGAACATTCTGGTTAGACTAATGGCTTGAAGTTATGGTCGATGAGATTATTGAATCTTGCTTCTGAAATGCTTCTGAAATACAGATTAAGTGATGAGTAGAATTCTAGTTTAAACAAAATTGAGTAACTACAAATCTTAGATTTCGGTTGAAGTAATTATACGTAATCATCTCGTAGTTGGTACAAGTTTCATCGTCTGTGTACATGATTATTGGACATAGCGTTATATATAGATTGATGGACAAGTTTTGTTGCACACTTTATTGACTGCATGGGATTTTTAGCTAATGACAGTCGGATATGGAAGGCTCCTGCAATCGACTGAAAGAAACTACATATTTATAGAGTTTAGTGTTCTGGACTGGGCCCGCCCTAGCCCAAAAGCAAGAACAAAGGCCCAATCCAAGCAGCTCCTCGAGGAACGCGCGCCCGCAGATTCCCGCCAGTGCGCCCGACCGCAGACTGCAGTCGTGCTCGCCGTTGCCCGCGACACCTGGTGTCCTCGACCACGGGAACTCCAGCTCGAGCCCCGCTCGAGCACTCTCCTCGTAGGACAGATTATGACCGTTACCAAATCAACTAAACTCCGGAAAGACCGCGTCCTCGTCCCTCCTCATTCTTCGCAGAACATCACCAGGAAGGGGACCACGTGCGGGGCCCCACTACACACGTAGAACCTGGCAGTTCCTTTATTGGGCCCGTTCTGGCCGGCCTAGTGAGGGGACCTTGGCCCAGCGCTGGGGACTATAAATACCCTTTGTTTCCAGAGGGTCAGGTATTCATCTCTTACGCATACACACACTTTTTGCCTGCTCATTCCGTCACTCATTTTAGCATCAGAGTGTCTTGCAGGTACCCCCCCCATCTCACTCAAGTTTCTGCCCGAGCCAGTCGTAACGGTCCAAGCCTGAAGAATCAATTCATAAGTTCCTTCACTGCGTCTCGGCGACACCCAAAGACCGAGGCAGCACTCGAGGCCATCATCCAGAGACAAGATGAAATCTTGAGAGAATTTATCAATCGCTTCAACCGCGAAGCCATACAGGTCCCCTGCGCGGACCACATGAAAAAGTATTTACTGGAGAGGGGGCTCCTCCCCGGCACAGAATTTAGAAAGGCGGTGGGCATCGAACCACCCCGGACATTCGATGCTCTCCTCGAGAAGGCCCGGGCGTATATGGATTACGAGGAAAGGGAGGCGGCCAACAGAGCCCGAGACCCCAGAACTCGCGGATCCAGCAGCAACCCGCGCCAAGAAGTCGCTCCTCCTCGACAAACTGGGGAGAAAAGAAAAGAGGACAGACCCTGAGAAGTCCGCGAACAGAGAGGGCCCTCGGGGTGCTTCACAGAATACACTCCGCTCACACTTCCCGCGAGCGCATCTTGGCGGAGTGTGCCAGCACGGACTTCAAAGACGGCAGCGTCAAACGCCCCCGACCTGCTCCTGCCAAGCCCAGAGTAGACAAGAGCAAGTACTGTTAGTACCATAGGAGCCATGGTCATCTGACTGAAGACTGTGTCCACCTCAAGGACGCCATCGAAAACCTCATCAAGGGAGGGAGGCTCGCCCAATACCAGCGAAACGACGCTCCTCGTCGTGACGCCCGAGAGACAAGAGAACCGGAGGAAGACGCCCGACCATCTGACGAGTCGATCCCCGTCCAGACCGCCTTCTCCGTCACCAGACCGGAGGACTTCTACGTCCCCGAACACCTGCAGGAGCCGCTCACGACACACAGCAGGTGGGAATACTTTCCCTCCGCCATGGTCATCAATGGTGGAGGATTCAACGACCTAACTATCAATTCGGACAAGAGAAAGCTTGATGAACTGGTCGACTCGGCACCTCCGTAGACAGTAACCTTTGAAAGGGTAAAAGGTAGGTCGGAGCCTATCACCTTTTACCTCGAAGAGCTCCCCGGAGGAGTCCCCAACGCAGTCATTCCTCTACTGATAAGAGCGAGAATGGCTAACTTTGATGTGCACCGCATCCTCGTCGACGAAGGAAGTTCCGTCGACGTGATGTACAGTCAATTATTCTGGACTCTGCAGCTAGACGACTCGCACCTCTCGCCGTATGTAGGGTCGAACTTACAGGGCTTCAAAGGCTCGACCTCCAAGCCTTAGGGATATGTCGAGCTCATGGTTACCTTCGGTGAGGGCACGACGACGAGGCAGGTTAAGGTACGCTTCCTCGTCATCGACTGCCCGTCCCTCTACAACTGCATCCTGGGGAGACCAACACTGGCAGAACTAACCGCGGTGCCCTCCACCGTCCACTTGAATATGAAGTTCTACACCAAGAGGGCACGGGTGGCCACCATCCAGGGGGACCTAGCTGCTGCTCGAAGGTGTTTCAACGCCGCATCTAAAGGACGCGACACTGTCGATACCGGGACAAGGCCCGCCAAGAGACCAGCGACGACACGACAGGAGCCCGACAAATCAGAGCTCGCCAAAGTAGAAGACCAGAGAGCTCCCGCAAAGGTCGACTCCATAGCTCTGAATACTCGTTTCGATCAGGACGAACCTCCCAACGACGAGCAAATCCCCCTCCGACCAATCCCGAACGGGGACTTCGAGCTCGTCCCCCTCGGTGCAGACCCAAGCAAAGGAGTGAAGATTGGCATCGACCTCCCCGACCTGGCAAGGAAGCAGATCAAAGCCTGCTTGCGCGAGAATGTTGATTTATTCGCCTGGAGCGCCGCGGAGATGCCCAGACTCGACCCCGAGGTCGCCTGTCACCGTCTCGCCATAGATCCTGCCGCTAAGGCAGTAGTACAACGTAGGCGTAGGCAGTCTCCAGAGAAAACGGAGGTTGCTGAAAAGTTGTAAAAGACCTCCTAGAGGCGAATTTTATTTCTGAAGCCCGGTATTCAACCTGGTTGTCAAACGTTGTACTAGTTAAAAAGAATAATGGAAAATGGCGGATGTGTGTTGACTATACCGATCTCAACCGGGCATGCCCGAAGGATGCTTTCCCTTTACCGAACATAGATATGTTGGTCGACAACTCGGCCGACTACAAGATATTGTCATTCATGGATGCCTATTCAGGCTACAACCAAATCGCAATGGCCATGGGCGACAAACATTGCACTGCCTTCATGACCAGCTCGGGCAATTATTACTACAACGTAATGCCCTTTGGACTAAAGAACGCAGGGGCAACTTACCAATGTATGATGAACAGAGTGTTCCACAAGCAAATCAGAGACATGCTTTAGGTTTACATGGACGACATGATCGTCAAGTCCCGAGCAGACACCGATCATGCAGCACAACTCAAGGCAGTCTTCGCCCAAGCGAGACAATGTAAGATGAGATTCAACCCCGAAAAATGCACGTTCGGAGTCAAGGCGGGGAAATTCCTCGGGTTCTACCTAGCAGAACGAGGAATTGAAGCCAATCCCAACAAATGTCGAGCCTTCTCCGACCTCCCGACACCTACGTCCAAGAAATCAATACAAGTCATGAACGGTATGCTCACGTCACTGTCCCGCTTCGTCGCAAGATCCGCTCAGCACGCCCTCCCCTTCTTCAGACTCCTCCGCAAAGAAGCAGCCTTCGAATGGACCGAGGAATGTGAACGGGCACTGAGCCACCTAAAACAAAGTCTATCCCAACCACCCGTACTGTCTCGACCACTCGACGGGGAGCCTTTATTCCTATACTTGGCCGTCTCGAACGAGGCCATCAGCGCGGCTCTCATTCGCGAGACCACCGACGGGCAGAAACCCGTTTATTTCACGAGCAAAGCCCTACAAGGACCTGAGAGCAGATACCAACAGATAGAAAAAGTAGCTCTAGCCCTCGTCAACGCGGCGAGGAGACTCAGACACTATTTCTTGGCCCATACAGTCATAGTGTGAACCGACCAACCGGTAAAACAACTATTAGGTCGACCTGATATGGCGGGCCGAATGTTGAAATGGTCCTTGGAACTCTCTGAGTTCGACATTCAATACGAAAGCAGGAAATCTCTAAAGGCACAAGCCCTGGCCGACTTCGTCGCAGAAATGACCGCTCACGACCCGCCCGCAGGGAAGGAGCACAAATGGACCATTTTCGTCGACGAAGCTTCCAGTTCATCCGGAAGCGGTGCGGGGATCCTCCTACAAAATGAGGAGGGCGTAGTGATCGAGCACTCGTTAACCCTCTCCTTCCTGACTTCGAACAACCAAGCAGAGTATGAGGCCCTGCTCGCAGGACT